TGTGTGAGGATCTTATCCGTTACGGATACAACTACCAGGGCAAAGACTACGTCACCTCAGGAATCACTGGGTAATAAAGAGATCATGTTTCAACCCATTAAACACAACTCTTATATACATCATAGCACTGCTCAATATTTTCCAAAGTATACCATAATTATAGGTTGTCTAAATTTCATTGTTTATCTCTTTCTTTACACTGGTGTAGACATAAAACTAGCTTACAGCAACATATTGAACCCTTTTCTCATAACAATGGCTGACTGAGGAAGGACAAACAATTTATCTATTAATTTAGTTACTAAAAAGGATAATACTTTTACCTATAAAGCGCACTGTTCCGCACGGACATTTATTACTGTCGCACATCGCACTTACGCTGTGATCAAGTGAACACAATGTGATTATGATGGCGCTGTTTGCAAAGTGGAGGAAAAGAGAGAAAATAGCGAAGGACAAAGAAGAAAGTGTCCAAAGTATTGGATTATTTCAAGCTGTCGCCGCCGCCTACTAAAAGTACTTCTTATACGATTACTTGATGAATCGATGAAATAATCTGTAGAATACTCAATTACTAAAATCATCGTTAGCTGCAGCCCTAATCTCAATCTTAAAAGAGTTGGATGCTGAATTGTGCAAGAAATTAAAAATTATACTGGGATCAATCGATCAGCTTGTTTGTTTCGTAGGACTACAGTTCAAGCCTTACTGTTTTTCGGTTTTGAATTTCTAACAACTAGCTTATAAAAGAATAGCATCTTGTCAGCCAGCTGTCAAATGTAGGATGTCTGAGATTCCCAGAGACACCTGAAAGCACCATCGTCATCATGATGTTTTCAGCATCAAGTGTTTTTAGTGCAGCCCTCGCTCTCTCCCACATTACCATAAGACGCAACTTTGATTATATACCATAGAAAACAGAGAAGCAGCCATCATATGTGAGAAGTAACTAGCAAATGTTTGATTTTTACTTATTGTTGACTAGATCTTTATGGATGTATTTGACTGCTGTATTTTCCTCAGGGAACCTCTTGAGGCTTATATCTACTTTGGACCGGTATATTATCAGAAACTAAAGCACATGGTCCTCGACAAAATGCACGCCAGAGCCCGAGGCCCCAGAGCTGTTCTCACCAGGTAAAATCAATGCTCTTGTTGCAATTACATAGAAATAACAAAAAGAATGCTCAGTGTCTCGGCAAACACTGCTGAGACACTGAACAGGTGAGGTAACAATCTAATTACCTCTGTGTCAACTGTTTGTATCTCCTGAATGCGTCTGTGCCGCCACCAGGCAGCCTACAGAGGGCCGCTCCAGAGATGGAGGTCTACGTCTGGGCGAGATGGAGCGCGACTGTCTGATCGGCTACGGAGCGAGCATGTTACTGCTAGAGCGCCTCATGATCTCCAGTGACGCCTTTGAGGTGGACGTGTGCGGACAGTGCGGCCTGTTGGGATACTCTGGGTGGTAAGTTGAACTCTTCTGTCGACAAAGTTGCTCCTTTGGGAACAGGCTAACCTGTTCAGTAAGTTGTAGTTGCTGCTCATACACGCTAAAGATTTTAAAAGGCATTGCATGACACACCTGGGACAATGGACATGAGAGCTTTTGATAGTCACTCACAAAATCTAGTGTACATTAATGTGTACTGAGGGGGGGAAAAAAAAAAAAAAAGCAACTGTATGTAGCATCGTCTGTTTATGTTAGCAAGATTGGTCATTTGCATATCACCTTTCTTAAAAAGTGAAAATCTTCATAGGTGACCCTTATTACAGCACCGCACTGTAACTCTCACTCTCATTGGCTACTGAGTCTGCATGTTCGGGCTGAAACTCTGGTCCTTGTTCAACACAATGTGAAGCTAAACAGTAAATGAAGAATTTGCAGTTTCAATATTAAGACAGATCTAATTGTGTGGTAAATGAGCTGCCCCCCCCCTCCCAAAAAATCCCTGAATTATTCAATGTAATTGATTTCATTCAGGTCACATGTGTCTACTTCATTTCCTCAAAGTGGCATGCAACATGAGGACCTTTTCAAGTCCTCAGATCCGTCTGACGTACAATTTATGTTTCCTCTGGTTTGTTTCCAGTCTGATTCTGTTTTTTTATCTTTCAGGTGTCACTACTGTAAGTCTTCCTGCCACGTTTCCTCCCTGCGTATCCCGTACGCCTGCAAGCTGCTGTTCCAAGAACTGCAGTCCATGAACATCATCCCCCGACTCAAACTGTCACGCTACAACGAGTGACCAAGACAGAGACAGAAACACAGTCTGTGTGAGTGAAAGGTTTAGGGTTAGAGATATAATTTACAAAGTATGAAGTGTTCATTTATAAAATATACAGCAGAGAGAAATGAGAGGAAAAACAAGTGTTTTGACATTTTTGTTGACGTTAACAAACCAAAACAATGTGAAGTTTCTCATTTATGTTGATACTTTCTCACCGTTTTGCCCTTTTGTATGTGTACATAATAAACACAAAATGATTATTTCAGTCAGCTGCTGTTTGTGCTACTATTGGATTACTTAAAGCAATTCCTGTTTAATTACAAATATTAAAATAGGTACTTGAAAAATGCCCTCGTATCTAAGTACAACATTTGATTTGTCAATATTACCAAGAGTATGAAAAGTGCAACAAGATAGGAATTGGCACAATATAAATAAAATTGAAATGACTCAATCAACAATTAATAACACAAGGACCAAATAGCAGCAGCCCATGTCTGCAGTGTGTATCCTTTTTCTTTTTTTCTTAGCGCCACAAATCCTTGGCTTTATTCTTTATGGTTTTGGTGAATGAATTTCAAAGCAAAAACAAGTATTTTACTTGGCTGTTAAATGTTTTCCTTCTGGCAGCAACTGATTTTCAAAACCTGAAACTTGAGCTATATTTTTTGTCAGTGATCTTACTGTTGGGGCATCCAGGTGATGTCCCTGTTTCATGGACATTTGTTGTCCTTTGTCTTTTCCCTGCCTCTACATGTCCTGTCAGCCCCTCTACCATTGGGTGATAATACAGCTGAGGACAAACTCAAAGTAATGCATCTGATAGCTGCACAACTTGAGATTTGACATTTAGCTGCTGAACAGCGCTTCATTCACAAGTTACTTTGTTATAAATTCAGCCACAGAAATCAAACAGAAAGCAAACATGACATCATGACAAGATAAATGTGTGGGAGAATGATGGGACACTCCATCACCATCACAACAGGAGTGACAATAACAACAACAGAGTAAAAATACAAATTATGTTCTTCTCTTTTTAATAAAAAGAATAGAAATCAACCATAGAAATCAACCTCTCTGAATATTTAAACTAGTGTGAATTCTCAGCAGTGGCATGCATCCACACAAGCACACCCTCGAGAACACTTGACCTCCATGGCAGATTTTAGCTAAAAAGTTGTGGTTGCTTTAAGATGGGCACAGGTTTGTGGACCGATGAACTGATGGACTAACAGAAGGAGATACAGAGCTGCCGGTTGCAGCTAAACATGTTACACTCCTTAGGCATCATATAAACTTCCAGATGCATCATAAAGGGCTTTTTTGTGTGTGTCTTATTGGCGTAGATGTGATCAAGCAGACAATCCTCCAGGTGAGTGGGATGATTCACAAGTTGCCTGAATCCCGTTATCTTTAGCTCTCTGATAAATAACAGATGTTGAAGTCACCAGTAATCTATGTCAACTATTTGACATTTCTCATCCAGGAAGGTTGGAGGAGCATTTGTTGTTGGTCATGTTATGTGAATCATGTTATGTGTTGCAGGCCATTCCCACGGCCACACCCCCTTTTCCCTATTTGCATGAACAGTCAATCAGTTGTCCTTTGGCTCATTACCAAACTTTCCACAAAATCTTTTGCATGTCTCTGAATCCATTTGGAAGTTAGCCTCTCCTACATCCATGCCCCCTTTTAGCCACTTGGCATGAACACAAACACACATTGGGACCTCCATGCCAAATTTCAGCCTGCTAGGGGGAGACGTTTTTGTGGACTGACTGTTCAACCGACAGAGTGAGCCATAGAGCTGCTGCTCGCAGCTAAAAACCTAATTATGTCGGGAAAGCACTCCTACATTTACTGGTCCTGAAAAATCTGAATTCACCTCTTTGGGTGATCAGAAAGACGCGCAGCTCATGGTTACAGTCAGCCTGTAGAGGGAAATCTTATGTACTTACCTGAAATGTCAAACTAGGGTTCGGCAATATGGCTAACATTTTTATCTCAGTATTGAAATAATTAAAAAAATATATATTTTCTGTCACGATTTAGCAAATGTATACATAATCACATAGACAATAAGTAAATGAATGTGTTCCACTGTAATGCATTACGCAAGACCAAAATCATATGTGTCAAACAAAAAAACACATTTTATGTTGGTGTATTATCAGATTGATCTTTGGCCTATAACAAAAATCTGAAAATTGTGATAAATCACTGTCACAATTTCACAAATACCAAGATTATTTCATCAAATGTCTTATTTTGTGCAACCAGCAGCCTCAAACGCAAAGATATTCCATTTACAATCGTAGAGGACAAAGGAAAAAACAGCAATTTGAGTAACAATTGTCAGCATTTTTGCCAATTAATTGTGTTGATTTATTAATAAATGAATTAACTAATCATTGCAGATCTATAGTTTTTTATTACAGCTTGCTATAACATAAGATGTAAGAATAGGGAATTATCCCACAGTTCATATTAGACCTGATATTCAGGTAAAATGTTTACTGCCTGATGTAGGTCCAGGAAACTAACTGGCTCATAAAACCATCAAAAGCAGTGTTTTTTTGTTTTTTTTTAATTTATTTATTTGTAACTTGAATGTTTGAATGTTCCTCAGTAGATAGTGGAGGCATATAAATGTCATGTGATAAGCAGACAGCAGAATGGCAGATAGCACAAGTGACGACATCTATCTTTGAGTCATACGGTTTCCTCTTTCAAACCCAAGCCTTAATACCAACAACATGTCGTATGTAGCGTAACCATACCCCCCACCCGCACATACACACACAACTCAATTGGGGCCTTTTCACTGAACAAAAGCAGTACACATCCGTTTGTGCGGGCAGAGTGTGTGAAAATAGGAAGGGTGGAAGAGGCTCTTTTGGTGGCTGCACCTGTCCTATTTTATGAAGCTCTAATAAGCAGATAACAGGATGAAAAAGAAAGGACGTCCACTGACGGAGATGCAGACTCCACCTTCTCCTTATTTGACTGAAATTAATTAGATCCTCATTTGAGGTCACGGCTTTGCGTGAGCCACCATTTAGGCCTTTAAAGGTGTCACAATTGGTTGTTGTAGTATCTTTCTTGTTTACTCTTTTCTTAAGTGCTGAGAATCTTTGCAGACAAGTCAAAAGGATTTTCTGTTATGATGATGAAGAGTTTGTTTTACTTTTTTTTTTCCAAAGTCTTTTTGACCTGTCACTCATACCAGCAGTTTTTATCTACCTAGAAGAGTCTGAATGGATGCACAGACCTGTTTTAACAAAGTATGGCCCTTTGCACAGTGTCCCGTGTGATGGTTGCTGCCACCCTGACGGCCAGTTGGCTGCACGGTGTGTGTCGGTGAGTAGCAGCAGCAGCGGTGCCCACGCCTGCGCACTGGTAGAGAAAGTCCTCCTTTGCTATCCATGGTGTGGTGAGTAATTCAGCCATAATCCGCCTTTCTCCTCTCCCCTCTTCTTTCCCCTCTCCTCTCCCCCTCTCCTGTGGTTCCATTCATATTCTAATCACAGCTTTCCCTTCTCCAGCTCTCAGGCACTCCATCAGAGCCCTCCCAGCCTCGGGCTTTGCACTTTTACTTCCCCCCCTTTGTGACCATTCCCTCTTCTCAGAGGCACACCAAAAATAAGGTTGCCACAGCGAAAGCATGAGCGAAAAAAGACGTGAGAACTCCACCAAAAGATTCACACTGGTGCAGTTTTAGCATGTTTGGATGATGCGTGTCGACTGTGAAAAAGTTATCATAAAGACGGTTTAATGGTGGAATGAGGTGAGAAACAGACCAAATGTGACAACAAGTTTCTGTGGGATGTGTAACGGGAGTTATAATCAGGAGAAAAGGCAGGAGTGGCGGTTTTGTAGGGATGTATGTTCATATGGAGCTCTGGGGTGTATAAAAACGTATTAAATGCCTTCATGGAAGACGAGGAGGCCACAGTGTTAGGACTGCGTAGATCTAAGCCCCCTTTTTTTTGGGTTGGGAGGGAGCTTTTCTTATTCAAAACAGCTCCACAAAAGACTTCCAGTGAGCCTTGCCACATCCCCATCTGACTTGGGGCCATTCATCAGCCTTCCAAGCCTATCAATGACATGTCCCCATCAGGGCTCCTATAAAATCAGCCCCTTTCCCATGAAACATCAGCAAACATTTTGACGGGTCTGGCTTTCCCCCCGCTGGATTTCTGGAGTCTCTACCCCCCTTTCCTCCCCTATTCCCACCTCCCCCCTTTCCTCCGCCAACACCACCCTTCTCTGGGCGAACCTCAGATCCTCAACATCTCCTGTGACGGGCAGTGGTCACGGAAACACAGAGCGAGACAAGGGGAGAGCCGCTGAGGAGGGGGAAACGTGCACTAAGCCATTTTCTTGGAGGAGAAAGTGTCGTTGATGGGAAGAGGATGCATTGCGGGCTGCTGGAGGAGCCTGATATGGATTCCACAGGTCAGTCCTGTTAAACTCGCTTTGCCTTGTGTGGATGTGTTGAGAAAACTAGCTTCTGTTCAGAAACATTGTGTGAGCGTCTTCTGCTGCTGCTGCCGCTGCTCTCCTGGAAGTCTCAAACTTTCTCTGCAGTCGTTCACTGGACGTGTCTGGATGCTCAGCTGTTGTTTTTGGGTTTCTGCCTTTTTACCACGTGTTTATTTTTTAATTTCTGAAGTTATTTCTGAATGAGCGTTGTTTGGTCGCACACATTTATGTGAAGTGATTGAAGAAAAAGTCACAGAAAGCAGAGAAACAGCCTTTAAATCTCTCAGTATCAGCTGGGCCAAGTGGCTTCTTGCTGTCTTTTCAGTTAAACCGGTTAAAAGGATCTCCGTTCATCATTAGGAGTGGAGAAATAAAAACAACAGGTGCACATCATGGTGCACTTTAAAGTACTATGCATCTGTTCTTTTCTGCTTACTTGCTTTTTTTTTGTCTAAAATTGGTAAATGTTTAAAGCATTTGTTCAGCTTGAAAATTGAATTTATCAGTATTTTATTTTGTTTTATCTGGTAAAAGTGTGTATGTTGTTTAGTTTTCAGAAACAATGATTAATGTCTAATCTCATTAAAACATGCAACCGTTTCTTATCTGCAGAAAAGTGGCACACCTTGTTAGAATAAGTAAAGGTGATCGATTGAATTAAATCTTTGGTTAAATACATATTTCATTCATCAGTTACACTAAAAAAAATCACATTTGTAGTATGCTGGTGCAATGTAGAGTAGTTTAGCCCTGAATGTGTGTTAATAAATGAGTGAACATC